GAGAGAGAGAGAGAGAGAGAGAGAGAGAGAGAGAGAGAGAGAGAGAGAGAGAGATGAGCGATACAAGTTTGGTTGTTACGTACCTGTGAAGTGCAGTCCCGTGAAGAAGAAGAAGAAGGCCATAGCCGCGGAGCTTGACCACGGAGTGACGAAGGAGGGAGAGAGAGTGGACAGAGGGAGAGACTGAGATGGGAGAGAGAAGCCATAGTCGAGGAGAGGAAGAGAGAGAGACGATAAAAAAAAAAAAAAGGAAGAAGACAGTCAGGGTGAAGAGGGAAGAGGCGAGGTGAAGAGAAGGTGAAGGGTGGCCACGAAGGTGAAGCCGACCGCCGTAGCCGAGGAGTTGACCGGAGGCGTTGACCAGAATTGACTGGCGTTCACAGGGAGTTGACCGGAGTTGACCGGGGCGTTGACCGGCGAATGACCGCAGCGTTGACCGGCGTTGACCGGCGTTGACCAAGTTGGAGCCGGTATAATCTCGCCAAGCCTTCAACCTCTCCCTCGCCCTACGGATGTGCACACACCCTGTGGTACTTGTCGAGTCCAGTCTGTTCGTCTCTTCTTTCTGCATCGAGTCACTTTTTGTCCAGGTGATAGTACTCTGTGGATGAAGGATAGGCCTTGTTGACCAAATCCCTGCCGGACCAACTAGGGCTAAAGACTGTCTGACGACTCGACTGTCCCGGAGGCCTAACCCTCCCAAGGACCGGTACAAACCGGCGGGCTGCTCGGTGTGGCACGGTAGGCCCGAAAGGCTAAGTTGTGGGCTGCGCAATAGGCAGTCCAAGTGTTGAGAGACCTGTTGATCGCGTCGTCTTGTTTGCGACGTTAAATAATTCCTGAGGAGTTATGGGGGATCTCCTTAAATGCCTCCTGATCAGCAATAGGTCTAGTAGTGACAGCCTTAGAGTAGGTCTAGGCTAGAGACCCTAGTTGACAGGATCCTTGTCCGGATTCTGTGAGTCTTAGATTGAGTCATTCAGTGTCAGTCAGGGGTTAGAGTCTAAGTGGTGAGGTTTGGAACCGTTAATCCGGTTGTGCACTAATCACCATGGTTGAGACCCGCACTGGGAAGAGTACTAGCCCCTATACCCAGGAGCAACAAGAGAAGATGGCCGCCTTAGTGAGAGAGAATAAAGAAAGGAAAGAGCTCCTAAAGCAGGCAAAGTTGAAAGCAATCGCTGAAGAGCGGGCGGCGAAAATGAAGAAACTGGACGAGGAGATGGAGGAGAAGAAAAAGGCTGCCGAGGTAGAAGCAACAGCAGAAGCAGAAGAGGAGAGAAAACGCAAGGAAGCAAAAGGGGAGAGTAGTGGCACAACGAATGAGGATGCAGCAATGGAGAAGAAGATTAGTGAGTGGATTGCTAACTGGTGGTTGGGGGAAGACAAGGAGGCACAGTTATATGTGCCACAGGATGAGAAGGAAGCGTTAGCCAAGGCGCTAGCAACAATCGAGGACCCCCTGGAACGACAAGAAGCAGAGGAGGAGAAGAAGTTGGAGTGGAAAGGAGGATGAAGAGGGAAAAGAAGAGGAGGAGGGAGGAAGTTAATAGGTTGACCGCGAAGGTGGCAAAGGTGAGAGACTGCAGACGAGGTGCAGGCGCAGGCAGAAATTTCTGCCAAAATGGATAAGATGTTGGGGTACTTGGAAGTGTCGAGTGAGGCTTGGATGGAGGAGCGCCAAGCCAACTAGGGTCACGATGTGGCCCTGAGTGCCATGCGATCAGGATTCCAGGACTTTGCGCGCGACATGGTCACCCACGTTGGGGGCAAAGTCAGGCGATTAAGGGAGAACGTAGGAAAGTTCTGTGATTGCCAAAGCAGTAGCCGCTGTCGAGAGTGAGGCCAGGCCTCGTAAAGAGCACGTCAAGCTTAAATTCCCAGATGCATACGGCGGGAAGAAGGAAGAGAATTTTGATAACTGGGATGCGAACGTCAATAGTTACGTATACTTACAACACATCTTGACCGAGGAACAAGTCCTCATCGCCTTCCAGGCCCTCAAAGATGAAGCGGCCAGTTTTGCCAGGTCCCTTGCGCGCGCGACCGGTTGTGAAAACAACCTGGTGGCATATTCCAAGATCACCCTCCTTCCTCAGTTCTTCAAACTACTGCGAGAAAGGTTTGCTGACCCAACGAGAGGCGTCAGAGCCTCTGATAAGTTACAGACCATCCACTCGCAACAGTGGAGGAGTGCGAGAGCACTCAAAGCTGTCATGGACGACTTGGTAGCCGTCCCAGACAATGGGGTCACTGAGACCCAACTCGTCCAATTATTCTATTGTGCCATGCCAGAGCCCCTGCGTGGGCATTTCTTTGATAAGTCTCAACAGGCCGACATCACGTATGATGTGCTAAGTAGAGAGGTGGTCCTGTTCGAGTCAAAGTCCATGCCAGTATCCACTTTCTGGCATAAGGACTTGGATAAGGGGAAAAAGTGGAAAGGTCGTACCATCTCTGGCCAAGTCAGGGCCAAGCATCACATGATCCTTACTTTAGAGGAGGGTGGTACAGATGAAGTCCCCTACAGTGAGATTGAGTGGGGACTAGAGGAGGAGGACAACAGCGAAGGGCAAGGGAGGTCCTATGCGACTGTCGCGGCTGGAGGGAGGCCGCAAGGTCGAGGAGGAGACCAAGGCCAAAGGGGCCAGGCCACGAGAGGCCGAGGATTGGGCGCACAAGGGGTTGGCGGACAAGGGAACCGCCAAGTGGGAGGTAGGGGTCAAGGTCCCCCGCCGAATCGTCAGGGTCCTAGTCGGTCCCCGCCGCGACGAGGTGGAGGGCCACCTCAACAGTCAAGAGGATGGCACCCCGGCTTGCCGCAAGGCAGGCCATGGGAAGATCTGGGCTTGGACCAGCGCATATGGCAGGAACGCGTGGACTTGGGTCAGTGCGTGTTTTGTGGTGACCCGGCCCATGTAATTAAATTTTGTCCTAAGTACAGACAGGCCCGATGGGCTGCYCAMCAGTCAAAAGGCAGCCGCCAGTAGGGGTCGCAACTGCCCCTACTTTAAGGCCATGTGGGGAAGCGAGCGCGCGCAAACAAGTAACTCCCACACCACATGAGCCTATGGCAGAGGTTGCAGGCTACTGCCCAACAGTCAAAAGGCAGCCGCCAGTAGGGGTCGCAACTGCCCCTACTTTAAGGCCATGTGGGGAAGCGAGCGCGCGCGAACTAGTAACTCCCACACCACATGAGCCTATGGCAGAGGTTGCAGGCTAGTGCCTAGCTAGCTGTCCAGGGACTGCTTGTGTTAGCGTCTCTCTAGGCACTTCCCTCACAGGCGTGACAGAAGAGTTGAAGGAGAGAATGCCGGCCTGGGCCAAAATGAAGAAGGAGAGTAAGGGTCAGCTAATTCTAGTTGATGTAGAAGTTTTCAGGAGTAGAGTAGGGGCCCTTATAGACTCAGGGGCTACCCGTAGTTATATTAGTTGTAGAGCGCTGAAGAAGTTGAGGCTAGGATTGGAAGTCCAAAAGTTGGCAGACCCATAGTCAGTGTCCTTGCAGACAACCGCATGATGCGAGTTGAGGACTACGGTAGAGAAAGTTCTCCATTCCCTGACTTTCCTCGTTCAAGATGACCTTCCTTTCGACATAGTCCTAAGAATGGATTGCGGAGAGGCAGCAGGGGCCACACTCCATTTGAGAGAGCATGTGTAGGCTCCCTACTTCGTCAGGCGAGCTTAAGGTTGCCCGCCTGTTTCATCTGTCAGGTGTAGACAACACTTCGGCACATTGCTGTCTCAGTGCTCCCGCGTTCGCGCGATTAGTGAAAAAGGAGCAACTAGAGGATCAGGTCTTTATAGTATATGTGAGACCTGTCACTGAGCCTAAGGAAGAAGTTAGTTCCACAGATCCAACCATTGCCAAGCTGTTGGAGGAGTTCAAAGACTTGTCTGAGCCGCCGACAGGAGTAGTGTCGCGGCCAATCCAACGCAGGATACTGAGCCGCCGACAGTAGTAGCGTCGCGGCCAATCCAACGCAGGATAGAGATAGAGCCTAGCAGGAGAACTCCTAAGAGAGCAATCTACAGGATGTCCCCCAGAGAGTTAGGAGCTGCGCAAGCAGCTGGATGAGCTCCTGGAGAAAGGTTGGATTAGGCCCAGTTCATCTCCTTTTGGAGCACCAGTTTTGTTTGTCCCCCAGAAGCAGGGAGAGTTGCGTATGTGCATAGACTATAGGGGTTTGAATGCCATCATAGTGAAGAATGTTGAACCACTGCCCAGGATAGACGATCTCTTAGATCGGGTGCAGGGTTGTAAGTGTTTTTCAAAGATAAATCTAAAGTCCGACTATCATCAGATAGAGGTTCATCCTCATGATCAGTACAAGACTGCCTTCCAGACTAGATACGGGCATTACGAGTTCATAGTGATGCCCTTTGGACTGACCAACACGCCAACTACATTTCAGCGTTGTATGAATGATCTGTTTAGACCTTGGTTGGATAGGTTCGTTGTAGTCTACTTAGACGACATCTTAGTTTTCAGTAGGACCCTCCAGGAGCACCAGGGTCATCTGAGGCAGGTCTTGGAGAAATTGAGAGAGTCAAACTTCAAGATCAACGCGAAGAAGTGCGAGTGGGCCAAGACACAAGTTTTGTACTTGGGCCACGTATTAGACGGAGATGGCGTCAAGCCTGAGGACATCATAATAGCGGCAATTAGAGATTGGCCGACGCCCTGCACATTGACCGAGTTGCGGTCATTTCTAGGCCTAGCTAATTATTACAGGAAGTTCGAGAGGAACTTTTCTACTATCACCGCTCCCTTGCGCAGGTTGCTTAAGAAAGAAGCAATCTGGCAGTGGGATAAAGAATGCACGTCTGCGCTTAAGAAGTTAAAGCGCGTTAGTAGAGTACCCAGTCCTAAAGGTAGCAGATCCGTCTTTGCCATTTGTCGTCACCACGGACGCGAGTCAGTATGGGATAGGCGTCGTGTTACAGCAGGACGACGGCAATGGCTATAGACCCGTAGAGTTCATGTCAGCGAGGATGCCCTCAGAGAAGGTTGCTACCTCGATGTACGAGAGGGAACTCTACGCTCTCAGGCAGGCTTTAGAGCATTGGAAGCATTCATTACCTGCTTGGGAGGCACTTCAAAGTATACTCGGATCACGAGACACTGAGGTGGTTAAAGACTCGGGCCAAGATGACACCTAAGTTGACTAGGTGGGCCGCTGAGATAGACCAATATGACTTCGAGCTCAAGCCAGTGAAGGGCAAGTACAATGTAGTTGCAGACGCTCTGAGTAGGAGATTAGACTACTTTGGAGCCATAGTTCACTATCTCGGCATAGGGAATGACCTGCAGGAGAAGGTTAGACAGGCGTATGCGCAGGACCCTATCTATAGTGACCTCCTCAAAAGAGTTAAGGAGGCCCCAGAGACTGAGCCAGATTACCGCACTACAGAGGGCTTACTATTTGAGAAGACTAACGATGTAGACCGTTTATGCGTTCCCAACAGTGAAGAGATCCGCAGTCTGATCCTAGGGGAATGCCATGATACAAAGGGACACTTCGGTTGGCAAAAGACTTTGGCCAATATCATGCACGCGTACACCTAGCCAGGAATGAAGAACGACTGCATAGAGTATGTCCGCAGTTGTAAAGCCTGTCAGAGGAACAAGACCACAACGCGTGCCCCTCTAGGTCTTCTCAGGCCCTTGCCCATTCCAGACCAGCCTGGAGATTCAGTCTCCATTGACTTCATGGATGCCGGTGTCAAGAGTAGACACGGCAAGAGCCAAGTCATGGTCGTAGTTGATAGGTTTAGCAAGTATGCCATTTTTGCTCCTTTGCGCGCAGAGGCGCGCACACAGTTAGTGATACAGAAGTTCTTTGATTTTTGGGTTAGTGAACATGGAGTCCCGTTGTCCATAGTTAGCGATAGAGATAGTTGCTTCACCAGCCAGAACTGGCAGGAACTCATGAGAGTTTATGGATTAAAGTTGTTGATGTCGTCTGGCCGCCATCCAGAGACTAACGGTCAAATGGAACAGATGAACAAGATCCTGCAGCAAGTTTTGCGCATGTACATTAGACCCGATCCGATCAACTGGGACGAGATGTTACCCAAGGTAGGCAGCGCATACAATAACAGCGTGCATTTGTCCACCTGTCGCACTCCCAATGAGCTGCACAAGTCCTTTAGACCACGTAGACCGTTTGAGGGGCTTATCCGGGATCAGATTCACAGGCTACCGCCCGGTACCATGGAGTTCGCGATACAGCACGAGAAAGAGATAGCAATTGTTGTTGAGAACCTCAGGAAGGCCCAGCACCACATGATAGAACAAGCTAATAAGCACCGTCGCCCATCGCAGTTTCAGGTAGGCGACCTGGTCTGGGTCAAGTCTAAAGAGTTTGCACCTGAGGAGAACATCTCGCAGAAGTTACTGCCCGCGTATAGAGGACCGTGGCCAGTTCTAGAAGTAAAGGGCGGAGAGGATGGACCGTCCTACACAATAGAGATACCAGCGCACCTCCACACCTACCCCGTGTTTCACGCATCGAAGTTGCGGCCGGCCGTGTGTCACAAGTCAAGAGTTTCCATCTAGACGGTCCATGATCCCTCCAGACATGGACGGAAGATATGACATTGACGGCATTG